CCTGCGACCTGCAAGTACTAAAGCAAATATATAACAAAGCAGCAGCTGTTAGATTAAGATTTTTGTTGGTGGTGGTTTTGGGGGAAGAGGAAAGTGGGGGTAACCAAAGATGGGAAAAATTATACAATCCATGGCCAGATTGTCCCTGGCATTTGTGTAGGTGCATAGTGGGGAGCCTTCTGTTCCCCTCCTCTCCCACACTCCCTGGTTAAGAGCTAGGGATTATGACAGCCTCTGGATTTAGGGGAATGAATGGAAGCGTATGGCTCCCTCTGTAAAGCCTAGGCATAATTCCTCCCTGTGGGGGAGGAAGCCGGAGGATACAGGGCTATTTCCTTCCAAACATAAAGGAGAGAGCAGCCTGCATACGTCCCCTGCATGCCGAGTAGTCAGGGAAATGAGCCTCCCAGAGCTTTCTCTGGGGCAGAACATTGTTAGCATGTGTTGAAGCCATGCTGGGTAATGCTGGCTGTTTCTTGCTGATTCTTTATGGCAGGGTCACCTTTTTAACTCCATCCTGGATATGAGGGAAGTAGAAGTGACTCTTTAGGCAGAGCAAACTGGGGACTAGGACAGAAATAATTGTTCATGGGACCCCAAGATCAGACAAGATTGATGTGAAAGCTTATTTGAGTCACCAATATAGCTAAAACCCCCAGAAGTGAGTATATATTTGGACCAAATCTAGTGTGACTGTAGACACTGCTCAGAGCAGTGTGTGAACTTCATTCCCTTGCACATGCAAAATACAGAGCAGTGGATAAAAACCTCAGTGTAGTCCCTGGATTTGTATCAGACTGTGTGTGATTGCTGATTTTTCCCTTGATGCCTCTATTCTCCTCTATTTGCCACCCCTTAAATCTCTGAAATGTGCTCTAGTGGCAGAAAACCCAGAGCAAAGACCCTTCCCATAAGCTAGCTGGCCTGCAAAGGAGAAAATAAAACCACTGACTTCTGAATTAAGGAAACCTAAATGTCAGCCATGAAAAGACACTTCCCTAATAGAACTCTGAAATGTCTGGAAGGAATGATGCATCATTAATTTTCTATTGTTCTAAAAATCCTTCTCTTTATATTAGTACCTATAACATGTACAGGGAAGTCCAGGTATCCATTGTACTTCCACTGTATTATACTGTACTTCATGCTCACTGAAGCCCAGCCAAGTGTCTGCCACAGCTGTTATGCCCCTGCAGACCTAGCATCAAAGCTTGGAGGGAGCAGGATTTCACTTACACAAACTGATTCAGACCTATACAAAATGTTGTACACCAGTACAGCTGAAGAATTGGATGGAGTTTCAGACCTGTCTGAATTTCAGTCCAACACATTCACTCACCCCTAATAAAAGGCCATTGTTAGCCCATTGGTTTTTGAATTACTGCCTTGAGCAGACAGTTGTACTTATGGCTGTTCTCTAGGACTCCCCATGCTCCTTAATTCCATGGGAATCATAACATGACAAACACTTTCTAAAACTACCACTGTACCCTTAACTTTACATATAGTGACATGTTCTATTACAAATTCAACAGGAGAGGCAAGGAGCATTAATGCCAGTTACAGCACAGTCACGAGAGCTGGTTGGGTGTTTTCTTTTGGAAATATTTTGACTGAGAATGGAGTTTCCATTAAAATCAACATTTTCCTGTGGAAAATTTCAATTTTTCTGAAGTTTTTCAATTTTCCATCAGGAACCATTAAAAAGAAAAGTATATTGTTTTGATCCAAACAGGAATATTACAGTTTGTTAAACTGACCCGGAACATTTTGTTTTGTGTCAATTCAACATTAAAACTGCATTTTCCTGTGGTGGTGCATTATGGGAGCTGTTTAATGCCTCCATTCTCTCCTATTGGCCATGATCCCTGGCCAGTCTACAACTTCCATGATGCAACACTGACCGAGCAGTGTGGTGCCTCATGGGAGTCATATGCTTATGGGTTCATTATGGGAGATATAGTCTGGCCAGGAAGCCCAGTCCATAGGGAACAATGGAGGTATCAGGCACCCAAACTACTACTCCCATTTCCAAACCAAATTTTTTTGGAATGTTTCATCCTGTGAAAAATTTAAATATTTCACTTTTTTTGCTCCAGCGCAGAACAAAAATGAATGTTGAAATAGGATTTACCACTGGACAGAAATTCTGTTTCTCACTCAGCTCTTGTAGTTCCTGTTGCTTTCAGACAATGCCCATTTCAATTACTACATTAAGTTACTGCGAAGGTTCAGTACAGGAGTAAAACTTGGATCCTTGTTCTGCTCGGGGAAATCTCATCCATTATCCTAGTCATTGATTATAAAATCCTTATTACATCCATTGCTCTTTGGAAAGCATTGCCCAGGAAATCTCTGGAAAATGAGGGCAGGCAATTGACAGAACACAGGTAAAGGGGACTTCTAAAAACTCCATAAATAAGAACAATGGCGCAATGATGGGCCTGGGAATGTGTCACTGCCTGGAGAGAAGCCCTCCCGTCTGCCTCACTTGCCAGTCAGAACCCCTCCCTGTGCCTGGGCCGGGAATGGTCACTCCAATCTGCCAGCAGCACTGGGGAATGGAGCTGAGTTGCAGGGCGGAAGGTCTCCCTGCTGAGGGCAGGTCTCTGCCTCAGTGACTGGGATCTGCTCTCTCCTGGCTCCCAGCCCGTGTGGCCCACCTCTGTGACAGGACAGATGATTTGTGCATGGGGGTTCTGTTAAAGTACTATTCCTTGCCTATGCTCCTTGGTCTCTTTCATGTAACAGCAAGCCATCCTTGCATCTGACTGCATTTCTGAACGTAACTGTTTTAAAAATAAGTTTTATTTTTTATTTTTGTAATGGAGATGAGAAATAAGAGTTTCATAAACAATAAACTCTTACTTTTCTCTATTGATTGCTTTTCTTCTGTCCTCCTGCTCCCAATAATAACCCTGATATTACCCTGCAAACTGTGAAGTTAATTTTTTGCACTGATTTTCATCCGCTCTTTAGTTTTTGAAATAAACATTGATAAAATCCTTGGAAAAAAATAAAAAATAAAAGCTGGAAATGAATGGCCTTAACTAGGTTATAAAAATACGTTTTTAAAAAAACCTGAGGTTCTTTTTACTCAACACCAAATATAGACAGAGACATTATGCGTTAAAGATCCAGCTAACATGTTTTTAAACATGGCTGCCCTTGTCCACACTAAGAGAAAAATCATGTTTAACACATTAGTTGTTTATTTATATGACTCTATAGAAGTCCAGTAATTTGAGATATCCTACCCAAAAAAATTTCCCCTCATTTTTAAATGTCTGAAGAAAAAAGGGGAGCCTTACAATGTACCTTTAACGGTCAGATTAATACACTTTTACTAATGTGATACATTTTCCCCACATAAACATAGCCAAATCCTCCTAACAAAATGTTACTAAAAACCTAGGGAAGGCAAACATGTTAGAGAACATTTAAATGAAATATTGTTATGGTAAAACATGAACCCATTTTCCCATGCTGTGCTGCTGAGTTTTCCAGCATGTCTTCTGTATCTCAGTTGTGTAACTGATTCCCATGGGAAAAGAAACATTTTAAATACAGTATCAAAGCAAAATTCATAGCTTGGTAGCACACAACCAAAAAAAATCAATCACATACGTATATTTTCAAAGATTTTTTTCTTAATAAATTACGAATAAAAATGGGGGCCTAGTCTGCAAATCCTTACTCAAGCAAGTAATGACTGCTTGTGCGAGTAAAGAATTTGGAGGATCAAATCCTAGTTTTATATATCCTTCATACAAGCAACATCACAATGTCAAACTATATGACAATAGTATTGAAAATGCAAAAAAAACATTTAAGATTTGTTTCAGTTGGAAAAGAAATTCATCTAACTTTCTCTCACCTAGGACCCAAATTGTGCTCCCACTAAAGTCACTGGCAAAACTGCCAAAGATTCCAGTAAGAGCAGGCCATTAGCATGCAACAAGGATATCTAGTTATATATAAAGGAATAATTAATGATAAAAATATGTACACAGTGTTAGTACACTGTATATATTACGCATATCTATATGCATGTGAATGGAAAAGAAAGAAAGGTCTTTGGCTACATTCCTTAAAGGACAGTGAAATGAATGAAAAAGCATTTCTAGACTATATTTAGAGGAAGACATTCTTCATACATTTGCCAAATCATTCACATAATTTTGCACAGCGTGTCTCATGCAGCTCCACTGGTCTATAAGAACTGAAAAAAAAAACCTGCATCATTTGCCTGGCATGATAGTTTGGAAATATGGAGGGGACCCACTCTTCTATGTATGTGAATTAGAGAGAATTCTCCAGACACACAAACAATTTAAAACTTTCTACCAATATCACAGTAGGACATTGCAGTACAAGACTTGTAGGTAAAGCTTGGGATCATGACCTACTCCCTCTCGTTTCTCTTTGAATTAGGCTTATTCAGAGATTAATGGCCAAAATATTTTTAAAAATTAGAATTATAGAAGGTCAGTGAGTGAGTGAATAATGGGTCAGATCTTCAGCTAGTGTAAATTGTCATAGCTCCATTCTCTAGCTGAGGATCTGCCCCTATGGATCTATGCTGGATGATATGATATAACTGGTACATGAACGGATTAGACGCTCCTTCGGTATCATTTGGCAAATGATCTTTCAAGATGAGTAAATGCATAACCAAAAGCTGAGCTCAAATAGCCATGACAGAGAATTTAAAATACATTTTCAAAGAAGCTTTATAAAAAAGTTAGGATTTTTCTTTAAATATTTTAGTTCACGTCTTGGGATTCAGCACCTCCTTACAGCTCTGCAAGAAAAATGCAAGTTTGTGTATCCTTAGAAAAATGTTAGGTCTCAGATATTAAGTAACAGTCCTAGGAGTTAGAAGAAAACAAAAATGCTGATCTAAAAAACCCTCATGTTAGTACCATAGGAAAACAAACAAAAAACATTTAACTCATCACCAGTTAAATTTACAGATAATTATTATAAAGTGTTTTTACCTTCATTCCCTTCTCCAGGCGGCTGATAAAATGAGAGCCCCAGAGATATGATGGCTGCAATTTCCAAGATTATAAGAGTCACATCCTGTAGTGCTTCCCAAACTAGCTGTAAGAAAGTTTTTGGCTTCTTTGGAGGTATAAAGTTTTGCCCAAAAATAAGCTTTCTTTTTTCTAGATCCGCAGCAGTGCCAGGTAATCCTGTGAACAAATTAAAAACAATTGATTCAAGTACCATGAAAAGAAGAAAAAAAAAAAGCCCAAATAAACTAGTATTCAAATAAACTGCATTTTCAAAGTAGACTTGCAAGCTTTATCACCTATGGCATATTAGACAGGATGGCAGATTTGCCACTTTTAAACTTTTTGTTTAGCAAAATAATTCTTTTGTCCCTGTATTCTGAGCAGAAGCCCTTAAGACATGTTTACAGAGACTTTTAAGGACACATTATTTAAATGAAACCCCTTATTGTCAGTTATTAATTATATAGTACCCCAAAGTAGTATGTTTACTTTTATGAGATCTAACATGTACAATAGTTTGCAAAGTGAACAATTTTTGAAAAGGTAGATTGTAGAGAGTGCCATCAGAATATATTGGGCAAGGCTGGGACATCTAAAGGCAACTTTGGGACAGCTACCAAGAGGTACAAATCTTGGTGCTGAGCTCAGGTCCTCACTGCAGAGCCCCACAGGAGAGAAGCAGTATGCTAAACTTCTGGAGGAAACTTCTTGCACCATTCTCAGGAACAGTTCTGGCCATGCACTGAGCATTTGGGTGAGCTGTGTCCAGCCCTTCTTGACTGAAAGGAGAGTCACAGTGCCACTAGATGTTGTGTGTATAGGAAGTAATATTATTATCCTAGCTTTTCCCAAAAGGAAGGTTTACAAATTCCCTTCCTTATATGTGGCCTTTTACCTAGAATTTAATTATGTACCTTTTAACTTGTCATACAGGAATGTTGGACAATATGTACCAGGGACTTTTATATGCACAGTGGGAAATTTTATCGGAACTGAGTGTTGCTAGAATTTTTAATACAAAAACTATTATTTTTCCCCAAATGCTTGCAAATCTTAGAAATTAAATGCTTTCCCATAAATCCCAGATACTGCTCTCAAAAGCATGCTGCATTGTATACTCTGATAGATTTGATACAGTCTGTCAAGAAATTATATGGGATATCAATTGGATTTATCAATACGTTGGAATTTAAATTCAACTGCCACCCTTTAATGCAATCACCAAGATAAATATACGAACAACTTTATTCAGGTTTAACACTAAGCCAGGACAGTGAAGGTCTAATTAGACTGACAGAGTGGACCACAGGGTATGACTAACCAACCTATAGTAGAGGCCTCAGCAATACAGTGGTTCCAATCATTGCTCTTCAGCAGAACTCAGAATAGCAATGGGTAACTGCTCCTCCTCTCCAAGGCCCTTGCCCATAGGGTCCTTTATCTCTGCGTCTCTACAATATTGACATGAGACAATTGGAAGAGATAGTCAGACACCATGGATTTAGCTGCCCACAGTATGCTGATTACTCTCAACTAAATATTTCATACTCAACCGAAGCAGCCGTGGCCACTACTAAAATGTCAGAATGTCTGAATTATCTCTGGGATGAAAAGAAGCTGGAACAAGCCAAACCCAAGCAAGACCAAAGTAATGCTGGTTGCAAAGGGAAAATACTTGGAAGAGCTGGGAAAGATGTCTCCACCTTCTATCAAATGCATACAGCCTCCATTCATCAAAGTGTTGCAAAGCCCCCGGACCTGGCTGGACCTCTCAGTAAGCTCAGATGACCAGGTAACATCAGTTTTTAAAAATATCATCTTTCACCTCAAGCTTACTAGGAAACTTTGTCCCTTCCTCCCGGATGAGAACCTGGCCCCAGTGATCCATGCATTTGTCACTTCTATGATGGATTATTGTAGTTTATGGTATCTGAAGCTGAATGTGAAAAAAATACACAGGCTCCAGCTGGTACAGACTGCAGCTGCCTGCCTTCTCCATGGCTCAGACCCCAGTGACCACATCACACAATGTGCAAGTCTGTCCACCAGCTCCTGGGCTGTTTCTGATGCCAGTTTAAGGCCTTGGTCTTAATTTTTAAAACAAGTAATGGATCAAGCCCCTGCTACATCAAAGACCAAACATTAATCTATGAACCACCATGACAGCTATGCTCCTTTGAGACAATGCAGATCTCAAAGCCGAAGAAGCACATAAGAGCTGAGGACAAAGCATCTTCTGTCGAGGGGTCTGACTACGGAACAATCTTCCAGAGGAGATCAGGTGAATCCAAAGTTTGGCCACCTTTAGGGAATGTTTCACAACCTTCCACTATAAGTGACACAATTCAAACACCTCTTTTATTCCCAAATACTTCACACCTCCACACACTCTGCCCCCGCCCCAAAACCCCTACCCAAAGCAGAATTCTAACCCCATGAAGAGAGAAGTGTCAGAGACTCAATGAAGTCCACTAGGGACCTTGCTGTTGATACTGATGTTATATGGAGAGCTCTCAGATATTATGGTGATGGCAGTACAAAACTCTAAGACAGACAGACAGACTTTAAAGGGATCCTCAATGAGGAACAGTCACCCTGGATTGGGAAAGGGGATGGTAGTAGTGTCTGAAAAAATAATAATTTTGTCCACAATAAGGAGTATTTACAAGCTTAACTTGGCCAGCTACAGCAGGATAGAAAAAAACTGAGTGGAGAAGGTAAACAATTATATATTCAACAGGATAAAATGAAAGTTTTAAATACTACGGAAAGTAACTACAGCTCTAGCAAATTAAGCCTTTCCATTAAAGATAGTGTCCAGTGTCAATTACATTGGCACAGAAACAGTGAAGTCATCACTTCCCAGGATAATACACTTGTGTGAACATTATTGTCAAGATTCTCATACCAAAGATACCTGCCTAGCTCATATGTTAATGAGCAGGTTGGTGCACAAACACATCATAAGCACCTGGAGTATATAAGTGAATAGCCTTCAAAGCAAAGGGGATCCAGACACTGGGACTGACTCCTGAGAGGAAAGGCAGCCATATCTCAGAGATACCAGTGGGCTGGATCTCAGACACAGCAAGGCTAAGAACCAGACCAGAGCTGACAACAGGCAGCTCTTTTTACTTCACTCAACTTTATCTTCAAATGTCAAACTTAACTGATAGCCAGCTGGAACCTAGAATTATTTTTGATTTCTTTTAAATGAATCTTGCTTTCTTAAAGATGCATGATCTTGGAGTAATTACTACACTCCGTTCTCAGAGACAAAGAAAACAAATTGCTACTATATTCAGAGAGATTTTTATGAAGAAGTATTAGAAACCCTTGGTCTAAGGCATAGGGCAATATTCCAAAGAGCTATTACTGCATCCAAGTCAGTAAGGCAAAACAAACAAGCATTCGAATAAAGGAAGATAGGAAAAGGGGACTGAATGTTGTGACGGAATGCTAACTGTATTATACTCTACTGCCACTAGGTGGTATTGTGTATAACAGAGTAGAACACCAGTCAGAAGTTAAGAACACCAGAGTTAAGAACTGACCAGTCAACCACACACCTCATTTGAAACCGGAAGTATGCAATCAGGCAGCAGCAGAGACGAAAAATAAAGCAAATACAGTACAGTACGGTTAAGCGTAAACTACTAAAAAAATAAAGGGAAAGTTTAAAAAAATGATTTGACAAAGTAAGGAAACTTTCTGTGCTTGTTTCATTTAAATTAAGATGGTTAAAAGCGGCATTTTTCTTCTGCATAGTAACGTTTCAAAGCTGTATTAAGTCAATGTTCAGTTGTAAACTTTTGAAAGAACCCATAACATTTTGTTCGGCGTTATGAACATGTTAGAGGTAGGAACAACCTCCGCTCCCAAGGAGTTTGTAACTCTGAGGTTCTACTGTGCCTTATTTAAGCTAACCTTGGCCATACCTGGCAGCACATTAAAGGTTCTTACAGAAGACAGATCTCTGCTGTATCTCTTTGCCAAGGACACACTCCTCTGTCATTTGCTTTCCTCCATCCTCACTCACTCGCTCATTTTCACCGGGCTGGGAAGAATCCCTTTTCGACAGGATGTTCGTTTGAAAAGTGGACACCTGGCAACCCTTGGTACAGGAGTCTGACCTGCTGTTAGCAGCCCTACAACCTACTGTGTACAACAGGGATGGGCAAACTACAGCCTGCGGACCGGATCCGGCCTGTCAGCTGTTTTAATCCGGCCCTCGAGCTCCCGCTGGGGAGCGGGGTCTGGGGCTTATCTCGCTCTGGCACTCCAGCAGGGTCGGGGGCTGCTCCACGCGGCTCCCGCAAGTAGTGGCATGCCCATCCCCAGCTCCTACGCGGAGGGGCAGCCAGGGGCTCCACACTGCACACTGCCCCCACCCCAAGCGCCGCCCCCGGAGCTCCCATTGGCTGGGACCTGCGGCCAATGGGAGCTGCAGGGGTGGTGCCCGCGGACGGGGCAGCATGCAGAGCTGCCTGGCTGTCCCTCCGCATAGAGCCGGAAGAGAGACATGCCACTGTTTCCAGGCTAAGTGCCGTCCAGAGCCTGCACCCCTGAGCCACCCTCCTGCACCCCAAAACCCTGCCCCAGCCCTGATCCCCCTCCTGCTCTCCAAACCCCTCAATCCCAGCCCAGAGCACCCTCCTGCACCCCAAACCCATCATCCCCAGCCCCACCCCAGAGCCTGTACCCCCCAGTCAGAGAACTCACCCCCCCATACCCCAACCCCCTGCCCCAGCCCTGATCCCCTTCGGTCCCAATCCGGCGCACCCTCCTCCACCCCAAACCCCTCATCCCCAGCCCCACCCCAGAGCACGCAATCCCAGCCAGAGCCCGAACCCCTTCCCACACCCCAAACCAAAGCCCCCTCCCACACCCTGAACTCCCATTTCTGGTCTCACCCCACAGCCCGCAGCCCCAACCAGAGCCCTCACCCCCTCCCCAATTAGAGCATTCATGGCCCGCCAAACAATTTCTATTCCCAGATGTGGCCCTTGGGCCAAACAGTTTGCCCACCCCTTGTGTAGAAGGTGTATACGACAAAGGATTCTGCAAAAGAAATCAATTAAATGAGATGTCATTTTTAATAAACCTCATATCTATATGTTATTGGCATAAGAGGAGGGCATTTAATATTATATTCTGTACTGTGATTTTTAATTTTT